CTGATCTAGGGACACTTAAGTGATCAAGGAAAAAGCAAATGAGTAAAATTTATTTGGTTGTGTTCAGACATACCTGACAATACTTCTGCTTTGTTATTCCCTCAGAATAAGAAACAAGGATGTAAAAATGAAGAAGTTCTGGCTGTACTCGGTCATGAATTGGGTCACTGGAAACTAGGTCATACTGTCAAAAATATAATCATCAGCCAGGTAAGTTATTTTAAACTGGTTTTTTCCCTGGAGCATCTGTAATTACAGCTGTTTCCAAATGCCCTCTTCCAGATTTGTTAGTGTACATTCACCTGATACACTGTGTGACAGAGAGCTGGTCTGGATCACAGCCATCCTTCTTTTCTGTTGCTCCTGTTTCAATAACAAACAATATTCTGGAACCTTCCATTTTACTCTAAAAAGACCAAACGACCACTTGGATAGCTAATCACTCTCTCTAGAAAACTTGCTAAGGCATGGTCCTGCCTCTTGGCTCTGAAAAGCCAGGCAAGCACAATGCTTGTACACGACCCTGCACAGCTTAGATGGAAGCACGGATTGTTTCCAGGAACAGAAGCACAACACAGCACAGATACATTTTGTTTAGCTTTAAACTTTTCAGAACCCATGCTTAATTCCAAGGAGATGGGTTCTATCCCATACTCCCTCCTCACTTCTTGCCTTTTCATCTCCCTTCATTACTTGTTTTTTGCTCACTGACAGAAAATAATGGCTCTTCTACTGCTGCATTTTCAGAAAGCGGGTAAAGACCGACTGTTTGTTCCTCTCTGTATATTAGTTCAAAAGTAATCTATTTTTTTTTTTTTACAGTGGCATCCATGTGCAAATTTATAATGTGATGTTATGTAATGACTTACCCTAATCAAGAATGTTTTTTTTTCTTTTCTCCAGATGAATTCCTTCCTTTGCTTCTTCTTGTTTGCTGTGCTAATTGGTCAAAAAGAACTCTTTGCTGCATTTGGTTTCTATGACACCCAGCCTACCCTGATAGGCTTGATGATTATTTTCCAGTTCATTTTTTCACCTTACAATGAGGTAAATTGTTTTCAAGACATAGGCACTGAAGTATCATCCTATTTAAGTAATGATTCTGTTTTGTCAGGGGAAGGTTGAAGGGGCTGTATTGATAATCAGGCTTAGTGCTGCATGTTGGGTAGCACTCCCAGTTTCTGGTGTGGCTTGGATAAAGCTTAGTGAGATCAGTCTGCAGCCACAGCGACATGTGGGATGTGGGAAGCTAGATGTGGTATTTACTGGCACTGAAGGAATCTGCAGAGAGCTGAATTTTAAAATAATTTTTAATGCATTTCTCTCCACAGGTTCTCTCATTTTGTTTGACTGTATTAAGCCGAAGATTTGAGTTTCAAGCAGATGCATTTGCCAAGGAACTTGGGAAGGCTAAAGACCTATATTCTGCTTTGATCAAGCTAAACAAAGATAATTTAGGATTCCCTGTTTCTGACTGGATCTTTTCAATGTGGCATTACTCCCACCCACCCCTTTTAGAAAGACTTCAGGCCTTGAAAGATGCAAAACAAGAGTGACAGCAGTGATTGCTGGTTCAGAGACAGTGCTTCCATCTCAGAAGCAAAGTTCAGAGCTGCTTTTTAATTTTTTTTAAATAGATAATGCAAATTAAGTGCGCTGTTAACAGCACCACAGATCTGAGTATCCTGAAACAGGTATTAAATTATAAATTACTTATTTTTAACAAAAACAAAACTGTGGAACATAATTTAGAACAAGTGCTGGGTGAAGACCTTCCCCCACACCCGCCACACTGACTTTTATTTCCATATCATAGTATAGACTTTTAAAGGGAGGAAAACAAGTGTAGACTTCAAAGCACCTTTTTCTTCAGTTTGTGTATGCCTTGAACATTGCTTTTGATCCTTTTTCTATTCTCAGCACTCTGTGAACCTTCCCAGTCTCACCCTCTTCACAGTGAAGAGGCTTTGGGTGACTTGATTTCCTGTATAATGATACTTGTGCTTGCCAGTGTTTTAAAAAGCTGAATGCAGCTGTAGGCTTTTCTCCTGCATTCATGTCTGTCATAATGATAAATGCTGCTTAATAAAAACTTTCTCTGAAGTGCGGGAAGAAGGATGAATTATAGCTGAGAAAATTTACCATGTCTTCCTTGAAAATGAGCACTAGGTGGTGTTTACTAGCATTGTAGTGGGATTAGGCTGCTCCTATTGCCCACAGTGCTGCTGGGGTATGGAAGGATGTTACAGAGAATCAGAACAGGACCCACACATTTGAGAAAATTGCTAATTGTCTCTTGTTCTCTCTTTTTCCACACCTTAGTTCCTCCATTTCTGTTGTACTTTGCCTAGATTTTTTGTGTATATGGAAGTGTCCAGTTGCTCAGCTAGTGTATCAGAGCCACACTTTGATTCTGAGGGGGCTTATCCTCCATTCCATTGAGGGTTTTTCATTAATTTGATTCCAGCTGAAATAGTAGTGTTGGCATATTTATTCTTCATCACTGTTCTTATATATAAAAATTCTTAGATATTAAAAGCCCAGGAAACAGTTTGCCCACATCAGTTATTGAAGAACAAAGTGGGTAAACATGGAAGTGGCTTCAGCATTGATTATCTATGACTTTTCTGATGAAAAATAGGATTCTATTTACTTTTGTTGAAGTAAAAATAAAAGTAAAATATAAGTTTGCATGTGCATACAAATGTTTTAACCAGCCTGAATATACATCCTCCATATATGAATCAGATTTTCTGTCTGCAGTAAATTAAAAAGTTCTGCTCAGCTCTGTACAAAGAGAGAAGTCATCAAAGCAAATTGTCATTGTTTCACATGTTGGAATATTCTCATATATTTTATTGTTGGCTTACATTTGTTTTTCTGATCATAGGGAAAAATGCCTTATAAGATGATGGGCACAATGATGTCTTGGGTGAAACAAGATGTTGCTGAAAGCCCTTTGTATGCCTTATTCTAATTGTGTTTATACCCCAACAAATATGGAGCTAAACTACAGATACGGATTTAGGAGACAGTTTTACAAATCTGGAGAGCCTATATTTGTCATGTTAACTGTATTTAATAAAAGGCCCTCAAAAATAAAAGCATTAACTTGAATCTATCAATTCAGAAGAATAAATGTGTCAAGTTTTGAATGAGATGTTGGCTGGTGTAAAACTATGGAAAACATGTTAAGTGTGCTTTGAGAAAATCATTTGTCTCATCCATTAGGTAAAACTTGTATGCAAAAATGAATTTTCTGGCTATTTCAGGAGTTTGTAAATGCAAACAAAAGGAGATTAAAGTGTGAAGATGAAGGAAATGCCAGTTCCTATGGAAGCATGAAATATTTAAAATACCTGGCTCACAGGTGAAGGTGGTATTTTTATAGCAATTGCCTCTTATACCCTTTTCTCCCCCATCAGTGCTTAGTCATCTCTGCAGTTCTTCTAGCTGGATGTCACCTATAACTACTGAACAAGGTTTCAGATTTGGTTCCATTCTGCTACAAGTTGCTTCTCAGTACTGCAATTGTCAGTGTGTGCTGCTCAGCTTCTACCTGCCCACATTTCTACTGGGCAGCTGGAGTGCATCAGCTACATCTTGCAGAGCTTCTATAGCCCCAAAATGCTTGCTGTCTCCCTGAGAATGGTCAAAATTACACCAAAATCTTCCTGTGCAACTTCTGCCTTCCTGGGTACCTGAATGCTCCCACAGTGTCTATACAGCCATGTGGCCAGCACCTGTTTCATGACAAAGCCACCATCCCTTTCAGGAAATGACCAGTTTTAAGGAAAGAAGCAAGAAAATTAGTGAGTGTGCATTTAGATGTCTGTTACCTTTTGCAAATACTCTTCAGGTACTCAAGGGACCCTAGAGCAGAACATCTCTGGCATCTGTGGGACTGCCGGGCATTCACCAGCAGAGTCCTGTCCAAAGGCTGGAGCTTTGCCTTCCTGTTTCCTGCCTTAGCAGTTTTTCCTGCAGGTCTAAGTAGAAACCTGAGAGAAGATATGCTGAGGAAAAGTGCCAGATCTTGAAAGGTGACAGAAGGACTAAAACTGAATCCTTTGTGAACATGAAGCTTGATGTGTCCTGGTAACGTGTGCTGGCAGCCAAGAGACACAAGTGCCCTGGGCTGATCCCCAGCAGGGATGGTGGCTCCAGCTCTGGTATCCCCAATACAAGAAAGGCCTGTTGGAATGAGTCCAAAGGAGGCCACAGAGATGCTGGAACCCCTCTGCTCTGGAGACAGGCTGGAAGAGCTGAGGGTGGTCACCTGGACAAGGCTCCAGGGAGACCTTAGAGCTCCTCCCAGGACCTAAAGGAGCTCCAAGAGAGCTGAGAGGGACTTTGGACAATAGCCCTGAGTGACAGACAGGACAGGGAGGGATGGCTTTAAGCTGAAGGAAGGTAGATTTAGATCAGATATTATGAAGAAATTCTTTACTGAAGGACAATTGGCACAGGTTGCCCCGAGAAGCTGTGGCGGCCCATCCCTGACAGTGTCCGGGTTGGACAGGGTTTGAAGCAACCTGGTATAGTGGAAGGTATCCTTGGCCTTGTTTTAGGATGAGCTTTAAGGTCCCTTGCAATCCAAACCATTCCGTGATGAAATAGGCATAAACGTCTCCCTTTAAAAGCGTTCCAAGGGCCTCCATTTCTTCACACAGGGCTGTTGGAGCCGCAGGGCTCCTTACTGCTGCCAGCAGGTCCTGCTGCTGTGCACGTGGCTCAGGTGTGCAGGTTGGGGAGCGGTGGGATCGCTGTGTGTGCGGGTGGGTTTGCGATGGCCGGGAGCGCCGTGCGAGGCTGGGGCTCGCCCGGGAAGCGGCGGCGGCGGCTCCGCGGGCCGGGCGCGGGTGCGAGGAGAGCCGCGAGCTGCAGGGGGCGCTGCGGCGCAGGACCGGCCCCGGGGCCGCCAGGGTGCGCGCGCGGCGGCCCGGATGTGACGTGCGCTGGGGCCGCAGCCCCGGCGGCTCCTTTGTGCGGCGGGGGCGATGCTGGCGGGCGGCAAGAAGGGCGCGGAGGCGGCGGCGGGCGGCGAGGCCGGGCCAGAGGCGCCGGTGCCCCCGCCCGCCGCCGCCGGGGCCCTGGGCTCCTCTTCGGATGGCGGCGGGGCTTCGGAACGCACGCCCCGCAAGAAGGAGCCGCCGCGGGCCTCACCTCCGGGCGGTGTGTCCGAGCCGTCGGCCGTCGGGGCCGCCCCTGCGCCCGGCGCCGAAACTACCGGCATCGCCGAGACCCCCGAGGGCCGCAGGACCAGCCGCCGCAAGCGAGCCAAAGTAGGTGTGGGGCGGTCCGGCTGTGGGCCCTGGTGGCGCCTCCTGCGTGACGCGCTCGGGCCGGCAGGCCCCGCTCGGCCGGCCCTCCCTCAGGGCGTCCCGGCCCCGGCCCCGCTCGGCCGGCCCTCCCCCAGGGCGCCTCGGCCCCGTTCGGCCGGCCCTTCCTCCCGAAGGGGGTGGGTATCTCGGGACCGAGTGCTCCGGTGTCGCGAGTGCAAAGGACAAACGCGGGCGCGCAGGAGGCCCCGTTGGTTTAAGATTAAGATCTAGATCCCCTGTTCTAGCTCACCTTCGTTGGCTCTCGGAGGACTCGTGCCCTGTCATATAGGAGAGCTTTCTGCAGCTGTTTAGGGACTTCGTTTGCGGTTCCTGATCGGATACCGAGCATTAAAAACACCCCAAATCCATGGCAGTGCATTGGAGCGCTCGTGAGCTTACATTTTATCAGCAAATCCTTCTGTTACTCTGGTATATGGACGCAGCCTCTCGAGGCTCATTTACATGGGATGATGCTGGTTTTGCAGGGTTGTGAAGGTGATGATCATACTCAGTCCACTGTTCCTCACCTACCCTCCATTGGTATTGGGAGAATTGAGTCAGGGCTGCAGAAGGGTGAGATTTGGCAATGAAACCTAACTGTAAAATAATTTGGGTATCTAGTATGTAAATTTCGTCTGTTTTTCTGAATATACGAGAACACTGTGGGTTTTTTTGTTCTGAAGATATTGAAGATCTCGACTGTGCCTGGGATTGGGGTGTTTGACATGGAAGCTGAAATTACTTCTTGGAACTCTTTTGTCCTGTTGCATTGAATGGGGTTCTTCAGAGCCATTGTGTGATCTGATAACTGGACTGGTCCTTTACACATAGAAGCTGTTGGGTAGATCAGTCCAGTGCATCTTTTAAATCAAGATAAGGGAGGTGTAGACTGGACATAAGGAAGGCATATTTTACAGTGAGGGTGTTGAGGCCCTGGCACGTGTTGCTCAGAGAAGCTGTGGCTGCTTCATCACTGGAAGTGTTCATGGGCACGTTGGACAGGGCTTGGAGCACCCTGGTCTAGTGAAAGGTGTCCCTTCCAGTCCAAACCATTCTGTGATCTTCAGAGGCAGCATTCCTTCTTTATAACGGTCTGTTAACTAGTTTGAATTAGTTCTCTATGTGGGTTGTGTATTGGTGATGTTTCTTTGCACTGACAATACCCATCTGTAAAAGCTGTTTGTCTCTTTTTGCACCATCTGTCCCCTTGAGCACTCAGGCCAGCATGAGGCCACCTTCCCATGAACGTTTGTGGTGTGAGCTTAGTTTGGGAGGGTATCTAGGTTAAAAATAAATCTAGGGAAAAGCTTAGGGTTTTTTATTGAACTTCATTGTTCTTCAAAAGTTGTGGAAGCTCAACGGGAATGGGAGACTTCAAAGGGCCTTTGGACAGAAGCAGATTAAATTTTGTGTGGCTTCAAATACCCGTGGTAATGCATGGATGTGCTGAGTGGTCACTGTTACTTCCTTCAGAGTGGGAGCTCACAGGAGGTCCTGGAGGTGCAACAGTGTGAAAAACTAAATATGCTGGGCATTGTGGAATGTAAATATTTAAAAGATAGCAGATCATGGAATATGTTAGTATCTTAAAGAATCTAGGGTTTCCTGTACACACACTTCCCAAAGCTACTTTTAATTGTGCCCATTATTGCTCTTTTTTGGACTGAACTTGTACTATGAAATAGTTTTTCTTCTGGTGAGAAATCCAGAATTGTTTTTGTCATTTCCTGATGGATGCTGACCTGTTGAATGTTGGAGGATCACTAGTTGCTTTCTTTTTATTTTTCTCATGGCTGCATATTGAGAGATGCTTTTTCCTTTCCAGTCAGTAGGGAAATTTAATAGCAGTGTACAGAACTTTTTTCCTTTGTATTAAAATTTAGTTGACTAAGCAGTATGAGGTGCAGCCCTTCCAGGCTAGTTCTTGGGATTTCCATGTTCCTTCAAGTTGGAGTGAGTCTTTTTGGCTGATAATTTTATTTATTTTTACTGGAGAACAGTAACAGAACAAGACATACATAGCAATACAGACTGGGGGGATGAGGGGAAAGGATGTTTCTTGTGTTGAGCCACTAGTGTGACCATTCTAGAAAGGAAGCAGCTGTGAGCCTCTGTACCAGGACAAGATTCCCAGTAAGCAGGAGACCAGGTGGGGAGGGCACAGGTGGGATTTCTGCAGGAAGTCGTGTGTTCACTTCTGGTCATCTGTGCTTAGAAGATGAAATTCAAGTTCAAACACATGGAGTGGACACAGGGGCTGCTTTTTATCCCTTCACAGAGCTGTGAAGGAAGGGAAAGGAAACCAGAGAGGTTAAATGATAATATAACACATATAAACTGTGTAGAAAGCTCCTACTATAGAAAGACTTTTTTTTTTAGGAGGAGGCAAAAACATTTGGAACTTGTTGAGCTTTGTTGCATTTTATAACATGGTATCTGCAATAAGAGTCTGCATAAAGTAACTCAAGCCTTTTCTTTCAACTGTAAGCAATTTTGTTACTTGGAACATTAATGTTAGTAGCCTGACTTATAGGCATCTTCAGTGTGTTTATGTTCTGTGGTGCTTTTCACAGGTCGAGTATAGAGAGATGGATGAGAGTCTTGCAAACCTGTCAGAAGATGAGTATTACTCTGAAGAAGAGAGAAATGCTAAAGCTGAGAAAGAGAAAAAACTACCCCCACCACCTCCACCAGCTCCTGCAGAAGAAGAGAATGAAAGTGAGCCAGAGGAGCCGTCTGGTGAGTAGAGACCTTCTCTGAAACGGTTTACCTGATTTGTTAACAGAAATTAGCTAGGGCCGGGTGTGGCATCATGAATCCCATGTCTGGTTTCAATCTGATTTTGAATAATTGTTCTACAGTGTTTTTATTTGCTGGCCCCATATGTGGAAGGAGGGGAGAAATGCAAAACAGTCTGATAAAGATAGGAATATACATTAATGTAATTCCAAATGAAGCCAAACCTCTTGTGCTAGATTCTCATGATTCTTACCGAGTTGTCTTTGAAAGCTTATTGACCAGAACAGCCTCTCTGGCTCTCCGCTGCCACACCTGCTCACATTTGAACACTCGCTTATTCCTCAGAGAGGAAAGAGGTTGGGTTTATGGGGGTTTGTTATGCAGAGTGGATTTAAACTACTGTGATTCCTGTGGCTTTAAACTATGACTCTAATCTTAAGTTCTGGTTGGATACTGTTTGCTTAAATTTCAGTGCTTTCCTAATTAGCTTACAGCTTCACTTTACACTGAGAAGTTTTTTGGTCAGTCTTGTTCAGGAGGCAGCTTTTGAAATTTGTGGTAGTAGCAGTACCATTGTGTTTACAGCTGCCAGCATTAGTCAAGTCTGTTGGTGAGGTATCACTCAGCTGCCTGGAGGGTCATGCTTTTGCAAAGTTCAGAGTCAAGAAATTTCATGAGATAATGTGGATATTAGTTGGTGTTAGACAGGAGCTGAAATCTGGTAGTTAAGTGTTTGCGGGTTCATCACTGATGTAAGTCACTGTTAGTCCTCAGTTGTCTTAATTTTCTTTTTGTCTGACAGGTTTGAGAACATAGGACTGATGTTAGCTTGGGAATACCTACCCTGAGTTGCAGAAAAAATATGAAAAGCTCTGGGTGTGTTTTATCCCTTGCAGTTTGCCACTGTAGCCTCTCCTTGCTGCAGCTATTGGCTCCTGCCTCGATTCAGGAATACTATAACTCATATGCTTGACTGAAATATTTGCAGTGGTAAAAATCCTGCCACCCCAGTTGTAGCTGATGTAGCAAAAATGGATTTTAATAGGTGTAGTTACATAAGTATTTTAAGCTTTCTGTTTCATTTAGCTTAGATGACATGTTTAGTCCTTGAGACCTAATATTAATACACATTTTTATTTCTCTCAGATTCCATTTTGTGCCTCTAAGAATGATTATTGAAATCAGTTTGAGGCATAATCAGTGAAGTACAGTGGAACAGGTTTTGTCCCATGAAGGAAGAAACATTGAAGATCAGCAGTGATAAGTCATGCTGTTCTATACACACAGCAGCCTGTTGCACAGTTGTTTTGCAAGGACTGTATTTAGCTGTCTAAATACAATCAATTTTCAAACAGGCTGTATCTAGCTGCCTAGAAATGAGTAGATTTCAGGTCATCATATAATTTCTCTGTTCCTAGAAATTCTGTGAATATGCATGAAGCAATGAAGTAGTAAAAAGACAGATTTCCATAGCTACTCTTGCTGTAATTTTAAAGGTTTCTGACACTATATATGTTTGTGGATCTCTCTATTTTTGTCTTTATTAATATAGGTGTCAAGAACATCAGGTCATCTTATGCTGGCTGTTAAAAGTGCATTGAAACTTCTAATTCAGCCACCCTTTAGAAGGAGGAGGCGGCGTGGAGTCTGCTATATATAAAAGCAGTGTTTATAATTGAGATTTTCACTCTGTGTCACTCTGAAGGAAAAATTGAAGTGTTCAATAAGAAATACTAAATTGGAAAGTAATACTAGAGTAGGATTACATACTGAAAATCTAAAATTTTAGTTAGCATTTCTGTGTTTAAAGCCTGTAAAAATGCAGGTAATGCAGTAGAAACATAAAGTTGTCACATTATAGCTTTTGAGCTGAAAAGCCTGATTGTGCAACTTAAAAATGTCCTGGTGCTAGTGTCTGGTATTTTATTAGCCTGTCCCCACAGACAGCTTATGATGAAGGGGATGATTAAGTGTCACACTACAGGTGACAGCACAGTGTTGGTCATCCTTGAGTAGTTTCCATTCATGTGTTCAGCTGTGGGGAATTCCAGGTGTTTTGGCTGTTACAGTCTGGATTGCAAGATATACTGCATGCTATTGCAGAGCAGTTTTAAAAGGTGTGTGACAGTATTCCATGGTTAAGATAACTTCCTTAGAGTATCTCCTCTCTATTTGCTTGAGGAATACTGTCTAATAGCAAAAAGCTTCCAAACTCCCTTTCAGTGCTGATTGATGACATTTGTGTTCTTGTTTGCCAGTATCCCTTTTGGAATCAAGGAACTTGCTTATTTTATTGTTTTTTGGGTTTTTTTCCTCTAAGAATCTTTGTTTTATTTTTCCTCACCAAATTGGATTTTTATTTTTAGAACTACGGAGGATTTTCTTACTTGCTCCTGGCCTGTTAGTGTTGTCAGTATCCCTACTTTGTGGTGATCCTATATTTTTAGGTGCTGTTTTCCAAGGAACTGAATATGATCAAGATTAAGATCAAGGAAATGGTCAAACTTAGTGGTGCATTGTCTCTTTATTTTATCTGACTGGTCTGTTTTCCTAAATAAATTCAGTACTCTGTGGTACTTATGTGCAACTACTCTTAACTTTGAGACAGTGGATAATTATATGAAGTAGATTCCTTTGTGGACCTTCTTCCTCATTGCCCTTCAGCTCATGGTCTCTTGTTCTGTTGCCTCGAGACTTTGAGCAGATTCTGCTCATGTTCTTTTGAGCTGCAGTAGTTTGATGTTAACAGGGATCAGTGGTTTGCTTGCTGCTAGTTCCTTTACAGCTAGAACCTTCCAGTGAAGGAGAGGCAATCTTCTCTATCAGACCTTGTTTCCATACTTCTCTGCTCAGACTGAGTAGCATTTAGAATTGTGTCCAAACAATAAGTAACAGTGATGAGAAGAGGAAGATTCTGATTTCTTTTTGTAAGTAAGCTGAGAGCAATTTTTTCCCCTCTGCTCATTGTCAGTGTTAATTCAGGGATTATGAATTCCATAGACTTAAGTCAGAATCTGTTTAATTTCTTAATTTATGGAAGGCACAGGTGAAACTCTTATTGCAAATTAATGGCCTATGCTTGACTGTAAATATTCATATTTCAATTGTGTTAGTCTCTCCCAGAATGGAAGCAAGTCTTGAAAATGTTCCCTGCAAAATAAAGTTCTTGCAATGTAGATCAAGTGAAAAATTATATCTTGCTGTTGCAGATATGTGTATTCACAGAATCATAACTTGGGTCTTGTGAGGCCTATCAAAATACAGTTATTTGTCACAGTCTCTCTGTGAGTTTTATTTCCCTGCTGGCAGACTGATTTTATACAAGTACTAACTATGGCTTCTCTTCTGCACTGAAAAAAAAATGTCTGTCTTGTTTCAGTTCCTATTCTGGTTTATCTGTAGATGTTTAATATTGTGACATTCTAGATTAATCCAGTTTAGCACAGTATGGAAACTTTTGTTTAACTTTCTGTGTCTTGCTTTAGGGGTTAAATCTGTCGTTCAGATGAAATTCTTCTCAGTGTGTCCCCTAGGAGCCTTAAATTACATTCTGGCAAAATTGTTCAGCCAGATTCTCAAAGAGTATTAACAATTGTGAGTTTAGCCTCAGGTTACACCTTGCTCTTACCTGTTTGGAGATTACAGCTGAACAGTTATGCTCTAGGAAGCGGCTGTTCCATTCCAGTGACCATTGCAGTGTGTTTCATTGCGTGTTGGTTTGGACTTGCTGATTGTTGAAGCGTGTGGTTTGAAGAAGCCTTGGTACAGCAGGAGCCAGCTGTACAGCACTGGGCCATGTGGAGTGTGTCGTGGCTTCCTGAGCTCTGCAGGTGAAGGGATTTCAGGCAACCATCTGATGGTGGAAGAATATTGCTCATGAGCTCAGAACTAGTGTCTCCTGTGAAGTGAGCAGTGTGTGAGGTGTGTAATGGCTTTGTTCCTGCAGACGCTGCAGCTGTACTCATCTCTCTTCTCAGCGTGTTCTGTTACTGCTTGTGTTGCAGTCTTGTTTAGGACTTAGTTGCAGGCTAAGGTAATTCTGAGACTTCTTCAGGTCTTTCAGATGAGTGCTTAGTCTTTCCGCACGTTTCCACCCCTGGGAATGTTGAAAGACTGATGTCTTTCAGTGCTGGGTATTGATCACATCACTGATCAGTGGTATGATGGCTTCAAAGACAATCTTAGTGTGCTAGAACACTGAGGGTGTATCAAGGGTACTGAAACCAAAATAAGTGGTCTGAGCCTTTCAAGCATTGTTTTAGCATCAAGCTTAAAGGAAGGGTTTATGGGGGAAAAAAATAGGGTCTCCTGAACATAAGAGGGTTTTCAAAATGCTTTAAACTGTCTCCTTGGGATATGGGGAGACTTGGGAGCATCAAAGGCAAGATTATCAAATTCTTAGGGTTTGAGATCCATAGAATCTTATGGTATCCATCTGCAAAATTAAAAGTATTTAGCCACCAGGAATGCCGTGTATGGTGTACTTCTTTATTTCCCATAAAATCTGATGTAAAGCATTCCAGTAACCTGGATAACACTTTAGAACATATTTTTTTGGTGCCCTGAACCTAGGTTCCAGAAGATGGGATTCTCAGAAAATGGGTTTAGTTAGTTGGTGAAATTTAATACCTAAAACGCCAACTGCCGGGCCTTTATGTCCACTATGGTTTAATTTATGGAGTAAGGTCCCTGAGTTCTCCTCTTTCCTTCCACAGGGCAAGCAGGAGGACTTCAAGACGACAGTTCTGGAGGGTATGGAGACGGCCAAGCATCAGGTGAGGGTGGCGTTTGATGCTTGCCACTGAGTAGCAAGAGCCGCCAGGTTAGGGATTGATGCTTGCAAGTGCGCATGGGTGTGGTTGTCCCAAATTTAGCAAGAGATGCAGGAGTTGTGTACCCACCTGTTTAAAAAGTGTGGGGTATTGAGATTTCAGTTGAGGTCTGTCACAACTGTGGAAAAGGGCGCTAGCTAACCTGTGTTGAAATGCCTCAGGCCGATCTCTCATCCCTCCACTCCTCTCCATGTTCAGAGGAGTCTAAATGTACAGAAATCTTCTTACCTAGCCAGTTTGTACCACCTAGATTGACACAGAGAGCTTTAGAACAGTATACCCTTTTTTCTAATCTGCTGAAGAAAACATAGCATGGAGTACCTTTTTGCTCCTATCTTTTTGTCTTTTGAAAGGGTTTGTGTTTGACCTGTGTGCCAGCACTTAGCCCAGGAGATTGTGTGCTGGGCAGATTCATGGTCTGCTGCTCACTGGACTGGATTGTGAATTTCATTTGCCATTTGGCCTTGGTACTGCTGCTGGCAGTACTCACTGCTTCATTCACAGGATTGGTGTCTTTACTCTTAAGTACTTGGAGTGCTACTTAAAATCTTCCTCCAACTCTGCTGCTTTTGCTCTCACTTCAGGATTAGGGTTTTAAACAAGAGTCAAAGGCTCCAGAACCTATTCTGAACCTCCAAGTTGCTCTTTTTGACGCAAATAGAAATTCAAGATACTCATCTAAGAGTGCATCCTTTGCTGTTGTAAGTAAGGGAGCCAAATACTGTTATGGATGTTACCACTTGCATGGAAGTGCTGGCTGTTATGGCTCATGGGCTTAAGGATGCATTGCCTATTTCATTATTAGGTAGGCATTGGCTGATTGGAAATTCTGCATATTTTGCATTTTGTGTTATATGCTGAGAGTATGCTCTAACAACCAATTTGACAGCAAAATCCTTTCATTCAGTGTGTTCATCTGCAGATGTTTTAGTAAGTCTTCAAATGAGCTGCATCCCTCAGGATTTCTTCTGTGGGGAAGAAACTCAATGCTCAAAATTTCAGCCAATTAATTGCTAGTGCTGAATGTCAGGAAATGGGCAAGTGTGTGTGCACAAGTGTGTGTGAAGAGGAGCTGATAATCAAGTCTAGGCAGAACCTTCCCAAGGAGAAACATGTAGCTTTGAACTGCTAATCCCTGTAAAGTGTGGCTTTCATGAAATACAAGCAGTAAGGGTGTGAAATAGGATTTAGTCAGCCTGAAATCCAAATCCATTTAGATTTGAGCTTTGTAGTTGCAGAAGTAAATTCAAGGACATTTAGTTCTTATAAGATCTTCCAGTGGTTGGCCAAATAAAAATGCTATCTTTGCTATTAATAGCTATGCTTTTTCTAAATTCTTGTATGGAACACTCTTGTGGGTTGTTTTATTAGCTTTTTTTGTTTCTTCTTTATTTTTTTTTTCTTTTACTTTTTTTTCCTGAGTACCTGTGCTCATCTGGAGCTACTCTGTTATTCTAGTTTTAAAGTTTGGGTATTGCCATGAAAGGTATATGGCCTTAAAAGCCCCACCGACTCAACCCACCTTGGGAGTTCTTTTCAAAGCTGTTAGCACCATGTTCTGTGGCTGCTCAGTTTGAAGAAATAAATCCCAAAGCTTTTCAAGAAGCTGCTGAGTTGCCTTAAATCCACACATCTGAGAGTTTGCTGGTGTTTGATGAGTACGTGACTTTTTAGCAGGTACCTGCAGAAGCACACTTCTTTTAGCCCAAACCCATAAGAGAGAGCCGGGTTTAGCATTTCAGGTCTTTAACTGGGCATTCTCTGAAAATTGTGCTGCTGAGCTTTTTGCTAGCACTTGAGGATCTAGAACCTTAATTAAGATCGTTAGCATTAATAAAGTATCAGAGAATTGGTAACTGGTTTGATTTCCCTGACCAGTTTTACAGAATTCGTCGTTGAGCATGTGCATTCCTGTGCAGATTTTGGCACACTTGGGCCAGGTTAGCTGGAAGGACAGCAGAGGGGCTGGGGAATGGTTGTTACTGGAGAATCTGAAGTTGTAGTAGAGCTGTGGGTTTCTAGTCCATAGATGAATATTAGTGCAGGAAATATTGTGGGTGTGTCAACTTCTCCTATGGTTAATTTTACTTTACTTGCAATACTCTCTAGCTTGTGTTACTAGTTTCTTCTTGTAAAATTTGTGCAAATGATTGCAGACAGTTTTCTTTACCTTGAGCCATCACACGGATCTTTAGATCTTTACTTGTGAATGAGTTTTTGGTTGCCGGGTTTATTTTTTGGTTGCTTGGTTGGTTTTTTGTTTGGTTTGGGGTTTTTTCCTTCTTATTGTGTTTTGTTTTTTTTTTTTTTGTTTAGTTAGGTTTTTTGTGTGGTTGTTTTTGGTTGGTTTGTTTTGGGGGTTTTTGTTATGGTTTTACTTTGGGGTTTTTTTTGTTAATTTCACAACCATTTCCTTCCTTAATTTTTTTTTTCAGCACCTTTGGGAAGTAAAAATGCTTGGAAATTAAAGAGGTGTGTGGTGGCACCAGAATTAAAAGCAGGGAGTTCCTCTCTCTGGTTCATTTACATGTACTGCTGTACATGAACTTCAAACTCTTAAACAGTTGTCTTGGTTAGTGTAACACACTGCAAGCTTGCATTTATTTTGCTATTTATTGTAGGCTTTTGAGCAGTTACAAATTCAGCAAGTGATCTTAATCATACTGTATTACTTGTGGGGGGTTTTGCCCCTGGGATGTATTGGCTTCTGTCTTTCTAGATTGAATGCCTTGTCCTCTGTCCTGATCAAAATCACTTCTAGGACATGGGAGATTGATGTTTTTCTTGCTGTATTTCACATCTCAGTACTTTGTTTTGCTCTCTGTGCCTGCAGGATTTGCTTTCTGCACTCGTGCTGTAGCACTTGTTGCAGCTGTGTCTTAGTTTGTCGCTTAGTTTTTCTCTATAGTACAACATCAGAGACTGAGGAAAGCAGGGTACAGAAATGTAGTTACATCACTGCCAGCATGGGAATTGGTAGAAGTGCTGGTTCCTGTATGAATGTTTTCCATAGAGAAAATCTCTCCTGGATGAGTTCAGCATCAGTCTTTTAGATGTGGAGTGTTTAAAAAGAAAGGTAGGAAATCTGTTGTAGGCAGCACTTGGAGAGGGAGCACAGGAAATGCATAAGTGTGATTGTGTTTCATTGCACTGCCTGCTGTAAATATATCAGATATGCAAAATTAGAGTTTAAGGTGGGTTCCTCTAGCTGGAGGAAGTCAGTGCAAGTTAAGCTTTGAGAAGCAGGTGAGAGGGGATGGTAGACACTGTGCTTGTATATTACAGATATTTTGGCTTTGAACAGGTTCTAAAATGGTTTTCTGGTTCTGTTAGAAACTGGAAACCACACAAATTAAGGACAGCATCTAAAATAGTTATGTTTTATTGTTAATACATACATATATATATGTGTGTGTGTGTGTGTGTGTGTGTGTGTTATATAATGTATTGATATGTGCCCCCGTCCCACTGAATTTTCGGGCTTTGTTTTTTGGGGGGTTTTGTTTGTTTATCTCACCTGTAGTGTAGCTTTTTCATTATCTTTAGATACCTGTAATTCAAAGAACTGTTGACTTGGACACTGTATGTCTTGCAGATGTAAATAAAAGCACTAAAGAAAGCATCTCATGAAATTGGCCACCATATCACCTCATGGCTAAAAGCACTGGCTAGGAAGGGTAGTGTTCCTTTGCAGTGCCTGTAGACTACTTGTCTTTTTATTGTAGGTGTGGAGGGTGCAGCTTTCCAGAGTAGACTTCCACATGACCGTATGACATCTCAAGAAGCTGCCTGCTTCCCTGATATAATCAGTGGGCCACAGCAGACTCAGAAGGTGTTTCTGTACATCAGGAACCGCACCGTAAGTTTGTTGTAAAAGTATTGGTGAAAAAAGGGTAGGAAATTTGTGTACCTTGCTAAGACTTATGGCAGTTACCATGTCTAGCAGTTGATGGAATTTTTGGTTTTGAGACAGTGGGGTTGAATTTCTGGCATCCTGTCATGCTCTCAAGTTGTTAAGATATGTGCTATCCAGTTCTTGATTAAAGCAGTGCTGTGAGCAGCATAAAGAAACTCTGGGGTACTTACAACATCCAAAACAGGGATCGAGGCTTTCCTCCTGTATTTTGAAAAGAATATTTTAGAAAATTGAAGTCATGTTAGGAAAATTTCAGTAGGAAAGCAAGAAATACTTCAAAAATTGCTGTGTTACTATAGTTAAGAGACAAAACACCTTATGCACCACTCAGTTTTTTCACAGACTGAAGATGACCAAGAAACATCATTGGGTATTGACCGTGGTAGCACCCAGTGCTTAATAACTTAAGTTATTTAAAATTTATGTGTGGTGGACATCTTCACGCTAAGAGCATGACTTCTGCTGCTCCTGTAAATTTTTCCTCTAACTCAAGTTGTAACTTCTGAGAAGTCATGAGATGTGTAAAAACAGGCCAGAGCATGCCAAAGAGTTTGGAAAACAATTTGCACAAAATAAATAGTGAGTAATCCTTTAACAAATGTGTTGGAAGCAGAAAAACCTTCCACTGAAACTAAGAAATTACTGGAGAGAGATATTTGCAGGAAAAAGCAGCACTGCTGGTCTGTGGGCCTTATTCACTACAGAGGAACTTGGAGAAGTTCCTGAGCAGGAATCCTGTTTGAGGAAGGCTTGTGAGAGGAACTCTTCCAGTGAGAATAGCAGAGACTGTGGAACTGCTGATATGAACCCAGTGCTCAGCAGAGCTGCAAACTGCAGTGAGCAGCCTCTTAATTAGCCATTCGACTCAAAAAGCCTCCCAGATTATAAAGAAATTATTTCTTGATCGTTCCTATTCATTATGGTTGTAGGATTTCCATTTTAATTTGGCCTCTGTGAGGAACTGTGAAGCTCAGTAATACAACTCTAGAGAAATACCCAAATAAAGGACTAATTATAGAATACATAATGGAGTGGAAGTATGACCTAGTGCTAGGCATGCAACAGTAAAATTATTTATTAACTCCTGCCTCTCTGCTACAAAGTAGGAGTTCTGTGGGGAAAACAGTTCTTTTTTTTTTCTATATGAAAATATATGTGATAAATGTGACATGATACAATCATATCATAGACAATTCTTCCTGCTTGATTTTTGAACTGTAAATGTCTTGTAAATATGCTTTTTTTGTGTCTATGTGGCCAGTGTAGTCCATGGTCGTGTTCTATATTGGTGAAGATGGATTGGATCCTCAAATGTCAGAGATCAATACCTTATAACATGATAAGTGCAGCTGTAGCCTTTATGAAAATATGAAATCTGGTGCTAAAAAGACACTGCTTGCTGCACACATCTTGGTGCTACCTTGGTTCCTCTTATTTGAAATGATGTGAGATTTTCAGACTGTGTTGCACTTTAACGAACACTGGAACGTGAAGTTCAGTGTGGTTTGTGTAGTCCTGCCAAAGTTAAATTCATTAGAGGGCTTCATCTCCTGACAGTATTTGGTAGCACACACATGCCTGGAAAACACCTCTTTTGTATTGCTTTGTATGACATGTTGTATTGTTTGTTTAAATACAGCTGCAGCTCTGGTTGGATAACCCAAAGATTCAGCTGACATTTGAAGCAACTATCCAACAGTTAGAAGCACCTTATAATAGTAAGTCAAGTTTTTCGTTGCCAAAATCATACTGTATATATCAGTGCTGTTTTCTTTCACTTTTGTTTGTGGAAAAGCTGCTTCAGATGCTTCAGTCCTTAGTGGAGCTCCGTGAGTGGTTGTGTATAGACTGGGATATTGCATTTTATACTCATGGTTCACATTTGATGGAGTTCAGTGTCTGGTAAAGAAATACCACTACCAGGATTCATAAAAGATGGATCGTTACAGTAGTGTTACTCCATGTGCAGCTTTTAAGGTTTGCTATGGCTTCTTGGTGGTTCTCAGCTGTAAAATGTTATTAATCATAAGGTTTTTTGAGAGGTTTTTTTTTAAGACTTTAATAGACTGTGATGCAAAAAGGCAGTAGAAGGGTGAGGAGTTACTGCTTGCAAATGGAGACCATTCCACACTTCTCAGAAAAGATCCCAATAAACTGGGAAAAGGTGGAGGGCAGCCATAAAAAAATAATTGAAGAAGAAAATAGTGCTGAAAAGAATGCAAATATACTGTCAAGGATTGCAAAATAGTGAACTACTGTGCTTTTAAAAATAAAAATGAGAATTCAGTGCTGCAGTAAGTATTGGCATAATACCAATAATCACAATTCTGTGTCATTATCCTGGGATTTTGCAGTTTCAGAAAAGGTGTTCTTCACTAGAGTAAAAGAAGTACCTAATGTCCTGTACAGCTTTTCAGGCAGGATTCAAAACTGCAGTACAGTATGGGTGTTTTTCAGAAAAGCAGCCTCAGGCCTCCTCAGAAGGATGAGTGGGTCAGTAGCAGAGCTGTAGGGCAGGATGTGTTTATTGGGACTTGACCAGATTGCTGCTGTGAATATGTCCTCAGTACATATGTGCTGCTGAACATGCAGAATAATTTGGAAACTTTATACATTCTTTTAGGTGACACAGTGCTCGTTCACAGGGTTCACAGCTACCTGGAGCGTCATGGGCTGATTAACTTTGGGATCTACAAAAGAGTGAAGCCCCTTCCAAGTAGGAAACTTGTGCATTGTTTCTAATTGAAGTTTTGTTTTATTGTTCCATGATTTCTTAGGACAGTTTTTTGATTGCTTTTTAGAATTGGAGTGCTAAGAAAAGAAAAAAAAAAGGCTGGAAAGCCATCTAACTGTTGATGTTAATGTGTTATATTTTGGCATAGAGAAGCCATGTATTTATGTAAATCACTTTGAGAGGAAAAAAATCTTGGCAAATCTTCTGTAGATAATTCGGTGACTGTCACTTTTTAATGAGTTATCTTGGTTCTCATTTAAAGTCAGAAACACAATATTGTACTTAGGTCTGTTACATGCTTATCTGATTCTTGAATTTTGCAAGTGAACTTCTCTGCCCTTTTTAAGTTTTATTCTTCTGGGGCAGAAATAAATAAAACTATGATACTTTGTCCCCAGTAATTAATACGAATTGCATTCTTCTTCAGACAGTTGTCTGGAAGCATTTTTTCTCCTGTTTTCTTCCTTGTCCCAGATGTACTGCTAGTGTATTTTCCTTGTACCTGTCTCAGTGTTACATTCAGAATTACTTTTCCATCACTATATCAAATTACAGTTCTCTTTTTGTTAAAGAGTTTGTTTTGTCAGAACTAGTCATGAAAAGAAAGCTGCTTTTTGTTCTTAGTATCTCTTAAATGCAACTCTTACATGACTGTTTGCAATTTAGTACTGCACATATGAAGGACTACTGTAGCTGATTTTTCTCTATCTTTAGCCAAGAAGACAGGAAAGGTGATCATTATTGGTTCTGGAGTCTCTGGGTTGGCAGCAGCTCGCCAGTTGCAGAGTTTTGGAATGGATGTCACAGTTCTGGAAGCCAGAGTATGAATTTTTGTGCTATTTTACTTCTGTGTGGCAACTTAACCAGTAAACCTATTCAGTACTAGGACAGGTCTGTGTCAGTCAGGATGAATTGCTGATACTGAACCAGCCTCACAAAGAACTGAGCAGATCTGTTCTTGATGGGAGCTGTCTGATGCTTTCTCAGAGCTGGGCTGGATACTCAGGTGCTAGTGTTGTGTGCTTACACCAGGAACAACCTTTAAGGTGTGCTTACACCTTAAAATGACCTTCTTTCATGATTAGAAATTGGTTTTTCATCAGCAGAATGCAAGTCCAGAATGCTAGACTAAAGGGAAGACTAAACAGAATTTCAGGAGTGTATTTTTAAGAGTTTGTTAAACTGTGGGAGAGGGTAAGAAAAGCACTGGAAGTTATAGCTGTGTATTGACAGTCTACAAAGTTACAGATATTAAAAAAATATATATAAAGCTAAAAATCTTTAGGCGTCAGGGGGAGGAGGAAATCTAGTGCATAACTAAATTTGTGCGTGGGCAGTTGAAGGGATTTGCTTTGGAATCACAGTGGATCCTGCTGTAAAAATAGTGAAATCTGCCCAAATATGATTAGGCATCTTTTTTTTTCTATTTCTTTCCTTTTTTTCTTCTCCTTTTTTAAATGCTAGTTAAACATTTTATTCCTTAACTTAGGCAAATTAATTGTGATTTAATTTTTTTTTGAAAAGTGTACATTCTGTTTATTAACCCTTCAGTTAAGAGAATACTTACACCATGTTTTGTAGATGTTTCAGTGATTATATTTCAGTATATTTCAGTGAGATGTCTTACTGAATGTAACTGGAGGTTTAATATCTTGTGCTTTTGACAGGACCGAGTAGGAGGAAGAGTTGCCACCTTTCGCAAAGGGAATTATGTTGCTGATCTAGGAGCAATGGTGGTAACAGGACTGGGTGAGTTTTTCAAAATCAGAAAGACCGGGGAGGAAAACTGAGGGGCAAAATGCTGTAAATGTGAAACCTTAATGCTGTTTTCTTTCATGGCCAAACTTTTAACTCTTAAAAAAGTGTGTGTTCTTATTCAGCCTTTTTGGCAGTTAGTAGTTTTCATAAATAACAAAGTTATATATGATGGGTGAGACCTTAAAGAGACAGAATGTCTTATTTCAGTTTACATGGAAAAACAAGGGAGGGGGGGAAATGCAGAGCCATTCTAAAGAGAAAGCCCTTCTTCAGAGTTTAAACCCCAAAAGTACTTTCTTCACTGATTTCAAAAATAGTTGTAAAAATAATGGAAAGCAAGCCAAATTTCTTCCTATTTATTACTGTTTTATGGGATGGCAGTTATTGACATGGTTACTCTGCTAAGAAGATGGGCAAGTGTTTAGTGTGGAATATCCTTCAGCAATGTAGTGAAATGATAAAATACTGTAAAACCTATAATGAACCCCCATTTTTACTGACAGCCTTAATTTGGCGTCTGTCTCATGATTAGTCTTATTAAATTGCATACAGAAACTGGTTCCAGACAAAGTACTGAATGTGCACAGTCATGGAAAAACAGATTTCAGTTTGCCTATTGAGAGACTGTAATATTTTTATGTTTAATTCATAGAACCATGGAATCTTAAGGGTTGCAAGGGACATTAAATATCATCTAGTCCCAATCACCCTTGCCATGGACAGGGACACCTCCCACTAGATCAGGTTACTCAAGGCCTTGTTCAGCTTGGTCTTGAGCACTGCCAGGGTTGGGGCATCCACAACCTCTTGAGCAAGTTGTTCCAGTATCTCGCCATCCACACAGGAAAGTACTTCTTCCTAATAATCCAGCCTAAATTTCCCCTCATTCAGTTTATACCCATTACCCCATGTCATATCAGTACTGTTTCTGATGAGAAGGCCCTCTCTGGCTTCCCTGTAGGACCCCTTCAGATACTGGAAGTAGGTATTTGGTGGGTGGGTTTTTTGCATGACTCATTGCAGGAATCACTGTGAAGTGCAGACCTTTGGCAGTGTTACACCAGGTCACTGGAATGCATACACTGGAGTTAGTGTTTTAGTCTCTGAAATTGCTTTAACTGTGGAGTTTTTGTTTAATTGCAGACAAATTTTACAGAATTCTCTGTTAAACTATATAAAATCTTTTCCAGGAGGAAATCCCATGGCTGTGGTCAGCAAACAAGTAAATATGGAACTGGCAAAGATCAAACAAAAATGTCCACTTTATGAAGCGAATGGACAAGCTGTAAGTCTGATCCTGTTTCCATGAACCTTCTAAAAAAGAAGTAATATCTCAAGTGTGTTTGTTACCAGGCTACTGGCTTAGCCTAAGATGGCTTCCAGAGAGAGGGAAGAAGGAAGGTGTGTGTCCCTTTTTAGGCAATTTAGTAATTTTGTAGCATACCTGCACATACACTTCTCTTTCCAAATGAGTTTTTACCTTTGCATTTCAGAGGTTTTGTGGAAGCCAAGTTTCTCTCTCCTTTGTTTAAGCCATGCGCGGTTTAACAGATGTGAGGTTTGCTCTTTGCATCACTTGAGCTCTCATCATGTAACAGGTATTTTCACACTGGCAGCACTCACTGTTTAACTGAGTATCATCAGTACAGTTAAATACCACCATTCCATACATGTCCTGCAGTGTTTCCATCATCCTAGAAAAGCTGCATTGGTAGTTCTTACTCACAGTGACCATTCCAGAGGATAAATTACTGTCTGTCCACTTCACTGGGCTATGCCAAGCCTTCTAAAGCCTTGTGATTGTGTAGAGCCATCCTACTGTCAGTCTTCTGGCAAGCTTCTGTAGCTTTGATGAACACACCTTATTTTCCAGTAAGGAAATCTTATGAGCCCATAAGGCAGTTTAGTTCTCTCTTGCAAGAGAGATCTGTTGTCATCGTGGTTTCACAGCTCTTGTGCCCATCCTGGCAAAGTGTGACATTGTGTTGTACAGACCTTGGTGTCTGACCATTTGAGAGAGCTAAGAATATGATTTTTTTTTTTTTTCCCAAGGGCTATTCTCAGCAGCTGTATTATTTATGAATGGGTTAAGAACAGTGCTTGTTCTTTTGCTTCCTAGGTTCCCAAAGAGAAAGATGAAATGGTGGAGCAAGAATTTAATCGTCTGCTGGAAGCCACATCCTATCTCAGTCATCAGCTGGATTTTAATGTTCTCAATAATAAGCCTGTCTCCCTAGGCCAGGCTCTGGAGGTTGTCATACAGTAAGTACTTCTCTCCTTTTGGTAGACTTTCTTATTTTGTAGATAAATTTCCAAAAGATACCTGAAACAATTAGGGTGCTCCTAGAGGTAAGATTTACCCTCTTAATATAGCTGCTTGATCTCATAGATGGTTAAAGGAGCAAACCTCTCTTGCTGAAAGTTTCCTGAAAATCATTGCTACAAGTGACTCAGTGTGATTGGTGTCCACCCATACAGAGCACTGACGCTACTTGAAAGCTAGTGGCAATTGTAATGGCCTTTCATAGCAGAAGGTAACTTCACACTATTTTAGCTAGTCATGTATCCCTTATTTACAGAAACTTGCATTAATTTTCCAGTTGCCGTACAAGTGTTTACTAAAATATCCCATGACATGTGTTTTTATTGCATTCCACTAATTAGATTGTGATAATAAATTTTCTCATTAACACAAGGATTTTATGTTGAGCTCGCTCTTTTCAACTTTTCCAGATTGCAGGAGAAGCATGTGAAGGATGAGCAGATTGAGCACTGGAAAAAAATTGTGAAAACACAGGAGGAATTGAAAGATCTTCTTAACAAGGTCAGATGATGACATCTAGAACAAGGTGATAAGCATTGTGTTCCTCAGAAAGTGGCAAAACATACAAAACTGGCCAAAGAAAAATATCAGAAAGTTGCTGTTAATGCTGTTCTTAAAATATCTTTTGGCTTAAGACCTACTTAGAAGCTCTGTTAGGACAAAGGTGTCTCCTGCTTGAGGAGGAGAAAAAATGATTAGGCAGAAAACCATAAAATGGAATATGGGAAAAGAAAGGAAGAAGACAGGCATGATAAACAGTGATGTTTCATAGCCTCCTTTAGAGACACTGGTACTGGCTGAGGCTTTTGGGGGCTGTTTAGAAATGTTGACTGTCTTCATTACATGTCTGATTTGTAGTACAGACACAGTGGTTTAGGACTACTTCCATTATTTTTATGTGTGGTAAATGGATGTTTTTTCTATGGAAATTTCTCAAATTAAAAACACTTGTGGACTGCTCTCAAATTACTTGCAACATAGTAAGAAATCAATGATGTTTGAGGTGAATATCCAGTTTACACAGTAACTTGTTGAAATCTGCCTTTCATAGTTTTTTTTTTAACCTTTCTTCCTTTTCCTGCTCTGTCTTTAAAGATGGTGAATTTAAAAGAGAAGATTAAAGAACTTCATCAGCAGTATAAGGAAGCATCAGAAGTGAAGCCACCTCGGGATATTACAGCAGAGTTCCTTGTGAAAAGCAAGCACAGAGATCTGACTGCACTTTGCAAGGTAAAGTATCACATACATACAGTATGTCAGTCTTTGCTCAGGACTTCAGCAGCCAAAAATTAGCCAATTAACCAAATTTTTAAAAAAAAAAAAAATTTGATTTAGCTTCCACTAAATCCATTAAGTGATTTTTTTTCTAGTGATTTCTCGAGGCTAGATGCAGTCTGATCCTACATGATGTCTTCAAGTTCTTTTAGATGTAAACTGGTTTTAATGTTAGCTTTTAATCTTAATAGGAGTATGATGAATTGGCAGAAACACAAGGGAAGCTGGAAGAGAAATTACAAGAACTTGAAGCCAATCCACCAAGGTAAAAATACAAACTAAAAGGATAAATACTTAGGAAAGCAGTTTTTACTACCTTTTCCCTGAGTTTCAAAAATGCTATGGTATGATTTTATTATGGGAACTCAAGGGTACAAAGGTACAGACACAGAATTTGAGTTCTCTCAGCTTTAGAACTCACCTTCCTCATTTTTAGAGGTGACCCAAACAGAAAAGGTGGTTCTGAGCTTGGGTGATTCTGTAGAAATCCTGGCAGTAACCTGATCTCAGAAGGCATTTGAGGTTTTAAATACCTTTTTGAAGTTTTAAATATCAGTAATGATAGTATACAATCCTACTTATATTGGTAGAATATGAATATTCTTTGCAGTTTTACTAGGCTTTTTCTTGTTGTCCTTATGCATGCTACTTAAACCATTATTCATGTAACCTTTTTATTTCTGAAGATTTTAGCTTCCCTTTGAGTATTTTACATGAACTCTGCTTTAAAAACCTGAATTTGCTGTGTTTTGTTACTCAGCTTATATGAGAGAGGTCTGGATGTTTGAAACAGAATCTGTGTTGTTTTTTAATGTTGTTATTTCTGGACTAAGGAGAGACTCAAAAATTACTTGTGAAGAAATTTTCAGAAGCAATGCATTTACAATATCCTGTTCTAAGAAACTAAATGTCTTTGTGTTAAATTTGTGTTTTCTAGTGATGTTTATTTGTCATCCAGAGACAGGCAAATACTTGACTGGCATTTTGCAAATCTAGAATTTGCTAATGCTACACCTCTTTCTACACTTTCACTGAAGCACTGGGACCAGGTAGGTAGTCAGTACTCAACAATTCACTAAAAACTTGAACTGTGTTTATTTCCTTCTCAAGTTTGCCATTGTTAAGAGTTTCTAACTGTTTAGTGTGTCTGCTTTTGTGCAGGTACTGAATTCTTATGCGATTATTATTTGATGATGAAATTCCAGACAGCTTTTTGTTAGTGCCAAAACAATCTCTAACAGTACTGTCAGCTGAAAGTTTCCATACTTAATACTTGATGAATAATCAGAAAGAATTCCACATTTATTTGATTCTGTTAAAAAAAGTTTTTGAAATATTTTTTGCCATTGTGTAGAGTTGTTGATTATTTTCTGTTGACTTAGGGGACTTCATTATGAAAGCATGCTTTTTTGTGCCTCTTCATTTTAGGATGATGACTTTGAATTCACAGGCAGTCACTTGACTGTGAGGAATGGATATTCCTGTGTGCCAGTGGCCTTAGCAGAAGGGTTGGATATTAAATTAAACACGGCAGTTCGACAGGTTCGCTACACAGCATCAGGTACACGGAACCCCCAGGAAACTTCTTTGAGGGAGTATGAGCACAGAAAGTAGATTTCAGTGCTTCTGGAAGTAGATGTGAGGACTGATATTGTAAAACCCCTCCCTTTACGTGTTTGGAGTTAGATAAACAGCCACATTCTTACTGGGATTGTGTAAGTAGTTGCTAGAGATTTACTAATCTTGAATGATTTTTCGATTATTTCTGTGGCTCATTTGAGAGAGTCTTTTTCAGTTGTATTTACTGATTGTTCACATTTATTCTCTTATTTATTTACTTCATTCATTTGGAGTAAGGGGTCTGGGACTGCTTAAAGGCTTGGTGCCACAGGACGTGGTATTTGAAGGATAAATGAATGTAATGGAAGGAATGTATCTTTTTGTTGTTCTTGAAAACATTGGGCTTGGGAAAGTGTCAGCTGGGAGAGCAACGTAATGAGAGGCTAACTTTCTACTTACTGTTTATTTATAGATATATTTAAATAATATTTATTGACCTGGATGGACCTTTATGCTTATTCCAGTAAGGCCATTTTCAGGTGCTACCTTAATTGTGTTTTCTGGAATAGAGCTAAATGGCCAGTAACAACTTGCCTACAATTTAAGTACTGTTAGCTGTCTCTATAAACAAATTACTTGCTGATGTGGTTATAGTAATTTCTTTAATTTTCAATCCAATGCTCTTGCCTCATGGCCTATTAAACTGTTTTTCTTTCCCCTTTCCAGGCTGTGAAGTGATAGCTGTAAATACCCGATCTACCAGCCAGACCTTCATTTATAAGTGTGATGCTGTGCTGTGCACTCTGCCCCTGGGAGTGCTGAAACAGCAGCCTCCAGCAGTTCAGTTTGTGCCACCTCTTCCTGAATGGAAAACTTCTGCAGTGCAGAGGATGGGATTTGGCAACCTGAACAAGGTACCACTGTCACTGGGGTAACTGCTGCAGGCCCAGAGGTTGTCCTAGAGAGAATCTGAAATGTGGGTGGAACGTGTCTGGTGGGGCAGAGGAAGAATGCCTTTTCCACAGCTGTTTTGCTAGGGTTTGATGATGAACGTTGTCTGAGGAACTGTAAGGGTCTCTTGTTGATTTCCTACACAGGCTTAAAAGAATTATATTGCAGAAGTAAATATGTTAGAACTTGTTAACCAGAAAATTGGTAAACTCTGAGAGCACACTAACCTGTGAAAGGCAGTTGTAGGCATATGCCTCTATGGATTATGTATATGCACTATATATTCACCAGATTTCCCTTTCATGATCTGTGCAGTGATAAACATCAGTGAGTGTAATTGTCTTTATTTTAATTTTTCCCTTGTGCTCTCCCTAACTTTTGATTCTTTCTTTCTAGGTTGTGTTGTGTTTTGATCGTGTCTTCTGGGATCCAAGTGTCAATTTGTTTGGCCATGTTGGGAGCACTACTGCAAGCAGAGGAGAACTTTTCCTCTTTTGGAACCTGTACAAAGGTAGCTGTGGTGCATGTCTGCTTTAGCCAGTGTCTTATTTGTATCGTTTCAGATCTAGAAAAAAACAGTTAATAAAATGCTGTTAGTGTTCACATATGGGTATCATAAGAAGATAGTATTTTTAGGAAGACAAATGGAAGCAGAGAACAGCACTGATTGCAGACAGTTCTGTAGTAGGTTAGGGCAGCACATAGATAAGTGTGAGTTTACTAATGCTGGGTTCCAGGCTGTGCCTGTTAAATTCCATTACTACTACAGCAGCCCTTTGCCATTAGTAGTTTTGGTTTATCTGTCGCTGGTGCTGCCACAATAGATTGTCTGGAGATCCCTGCAGCAAGGGTACTGGTTTTGTTACTGCCATTCACCAGACTAAAAGTAAAGGTGTATATAAAAGGAGCATTATTAAATGAGTTACTTGTTTTGCAGATAACCAGTGGGTTTTCTTCCATTCTGTCATAAGCAGGCCAGGTTTCTCTGTTAACTGGAAAAAACTGCTGTACAAGGGAAGTGCCTTTCTAGGCTATTGAATTATTAAAATGTTTGGTAAGATTTTACTGGAGGATACAAGTAATGAGCCTTGGATAGCAAGGCTGTTCATGTGGCTTTTGTGGCTTTATGATGGCTCTATTATATAGTTAACAAGTAGGGACATGGTTATGGTTTAGATGGAAAGATCATGCCATGTACAAATTAGTGTTACATGCTGAATCCTAAGCCTTCCTTCTCATGAAGATAGGCAGAGCAGGTGGAAATGAAACAGAAATGCAGTAAAACCTCATGTTGAAGCCCAAGTCAGATGGCTGAAATCAAAAACAACAATTACAATTTCTCATAGACAGTTGGGTAGCAGTTAATGTGGCTAGACTGTGAAACACTGAAACATCATTCCTGATGTTTTTATTTACTTTTTAATACATCAGTTCTCTTGATAATTCTGAATAGTACCATGGCACATATAAATTCATTTTCTTTTTGCTATATTGACATGGTGGTGGAAAATTCAGGACTACTTTTGTTGGATTTGTTTAATCTAAATCTCTAACCTCATGGCTTAACTGCAAATCCATGTTTATCCAAGTTCAACTTGTCTGATCAAAATGTTCGAGTTCAATAATTCAATTTTTTTTTTTTCTCTCCTACATCCCCACAGCACCGATTTTGTTGGCCTTGGTAGCAGGAGAAGCAGCAGGAATCATGGAGAATATCAGTGATGATGTCATTGTTGGTCGGTGCCTTGCCATTCTCAAAGGCATCTTTGGCAGCAGCGCTGTGCCCCAGGTCAGTACAGCTCGGGCTGAAGGAGAGGGAATTATCAATATTATCAACCTTATCAACATGTGTTGTCATCATGTTGATAATGGGAGAATAAACAGAGGAAACAGTACACACACAGCAGGTGTGTGCAGCTGGAAATGAGTTCCAGCTGAGGACCTACAAGCAGTAGAGTCTGGTAATATATTGGAAAGATTTAAGGAATTGCCATCAAAGATTAATTTGTGTTATCACAGAATATAAATGTGGAGTTCCACCACTGACGTCAGCCCAAGGACTTTGTCCCTCATATTGTTGCAATTTGCATTGTTTGTATTTGTCACAAACTGTAGAATTTGCACTTTCTCAACACCTGAAGCTCCTGTCTTGTCTCAGCCTAAAGAGACGGTGGTGTCCCGCTGGCGTGCTGACCCGTGGGCCCGGGGGTCCTACTCCTACGTAGCTGCTGGATCCTCTGGAAATGACTATGATTTGATGGCTCAGCCAATTACTCCAGGGCCAGCCATTCCAGGTGCTCCACAGGTGAGAAATGTCCTAGTTATTTTTAGAAAAACATCAAAACAGAATTATTTTTCTGTGTAATTTGCGTACATACCTAAACACAAGTTTAGATAACTTGTATTTTATGATGGATGATTAAGACCTGTAAAATAATTAATGTTTTCATTCATGAATTCTGTCATCATAGGTTTGGTGCCATTTGTTTGCTAAAAAAAAAAGAGCATTTTTATTCAGAAAGCTCATCTTTTATTCAGCAAATTAATATTTTATTCATATTTGGTTATGTCTGAACAGAGTATTTAATATTATACCTGTATTTCATACTCCATATTTTTGTTGCCCATCACCACATTTCAGTGAGTTGTAGTGATTTGAAAGAGGGTGAAGGCCAGAGTGAGAAAAACAGGAATAAAATGTCTCTTCCAAATGTGGGGGCCAACACAGGGAAGACAGGAGTCATCTCCAGATCATGTTGAGGGAATTAGTTTTGAAAGCACTGCTAGGAAAAGCTGTGTGGCTTTGGCTTTATTTGAGTTCTTGTTCTAATGATACAAGTGATTAATACACACAGCTATGAAAAAGTATTCCCTGCAGAATGTAATACACAACAGTTATTTTTCTCCCACTTGTTATGGTTCTGTGGGTAGTTTAAGGTCTCAGTTTAAAGAGAAACTGCTGATTTAAGTAAGATGTTGAAGTTTTTGTTTGCTTACTGTGCTATGAGTTCATGTTCCAGGATTAGAAAGTATTCTTCCTAAGTATGTTTGATAGTAGAGTTACAGTGAGAGCTGGGACATGACCCTCCTCTGCCTCTCTGGCTCTGCAAACATTGCTTATCAAATAGAGCTTTATTTTCTTGGTAATTTGTACACAGCTTAAAATGGGTTCAGTTTGGCCTTTTATGCACCACCTTGATGTTCATGGAGATTGTGCTCAGAGGACTTTTAACATTCTTAAAGTATCGTTTGCTGCAAAATCTGAAAACACCCGAGCAGAACCCCCGCTGTTGTTTCCCCACAGCCCATCCCTCGCCTGTTCTTCGCGGGTGAACACACCATCCGCAACTACCCCGCCACGGTGCACGGCGCGCTGCTCAGCGGGCTGCGGGAGGCCGGCCGCATCGCCGACCAGTTCCTGGGGGCCATGTACACCCTGCCCCGGCAGCCCACGCCTGGTGTGCCCCCCCAGCAGGCTGCCAGCCTGTGAGGGAACAGGGAGGCGGCAGAAGAGGAGCGTGAAGGCCACGGTGCTGCCGCTGTGGAGCCTGGGATGGAGATCCTCGAGTAGTTTGTAGCAGCGTCTGCTGAGAGCAGCCCGGGTTACTGTGCAAGCCTTGTCTGAGAACGGCCTTACAGAAGCTCGCTGGACCTTTGGCTTGGCAGCCTTTTACAAAATCTTTGAGCTATTTGATGGGTCAGTGTAAACAGAACCCTTTACTGCAAAGCTGGTCAGGGACTTTGACTCTGCAGATACTTCTTGGAAGTCAAAATAGCTGGAGGGTTTTTTAGGGTGTTTGGGGTTTTTTTCTACCTATGTGTGTATTTACAGTTTGGTAATTGCACAAGGGCCTCTAGAAGCTGGTTGCTATGAATACTAGCTTAGTGTAGAATGTATGTAAATTTCTTTCTGGGTTTTTTTTAATGACTTTGTTTTGAAGAGTACTATTTTTGACCAATTCTATTCCTGTCTGGCATTCAAGAATTTGGGGCAACTGTTTGCCTACCAGTAACAGCAAATCGCACCTCTCCAAAATGGTTCATTGGCTGCTACACCATCTGCATCCTGCTGTAGAGTAACCTGGTACCACTGAATATGCTAAGCATACTGTTTTATTAAATACTTCCAACAAAAGAAAAGGTACTGAACTGTGTTCCAATGTCCTGAGGTGAACTCAGTGTGAAGTGCCTGGTGCTATACTGCTGACCACCTGTTGCAGTACATGAAACCACTGAATGCTTCCTGGTGTGTTAAACATCCCAAAGGAGACAGAAACGATCATCCCAGGGCACAGAACTGGAATGCCAATGCTTGTCCTTTAACCTTAACAGGGACCAGAACAGGCAATGCTGGTTGGGATGGGATGAATGATAGGACATCCCCAGCCTGGAAATCCCTGCTTTGGAGCTGCTGTCTGATGTAGGACCATGGATAAAATGCCTTTGTTTGGCACAGGGCTGACTGCTGCTACAGTATCACTGTCTGACTTTGACCCCCTGCCTTTACCTGCAGCAGAACTGGTGACACTCTTTGTCAAGCTGCTGTCTATGACACCAGGCTCATGAACATGCAGTGCTCCTAGAACCCCTCATGTAGCATAGGCCTGCCCTGACAGACACCTGTATTCTTCGTTATATCCACCTATTTTGGGATTAGCCTGTAATTTGTCTCTGCCCTCTCTATGGCCTGTCTTTGAGAAAGGGTCCATGTCCCACAGGTGGTGGAAATATATTCCAAGAAACCAGCAAAGGGGGTGGCAGGAAGCTTCAGCACGAGTAGGATGGTGGCTAGAATCAGTATTTGTACTGGGAATCATTTGGATTTATTGTCTCAAGCCTCTGCTACAAAACCTTGGAAACAATTGTGTATGTTCATCTGTGCAACTGCTGACAGCAAGGAAGTGAGTCTGCATTGCAGACCCTTGGATTGAAAAGCAAGTTAGTGAAGATAACAAGGATAAGAACACTAGGAAGCTGCCAGAAGGAAGGCTGCTGGGAATGAGTGACTGGATCCAGGCAGGCAGAGTGCCCTGTGCCAGTGAGCAGCAGTGCTGCACACTGAAAGCAGCCCGAGGTCAGCAGGACTGGCTCCAGAGCTGCTGGGTGCTCCTGGCCTCTCTGAGCCTCAGGCTTGGGGTGTGGTGATGGTGTTAAGCAGCTGTTTACAAGGTCAGGAATCAGAGTGAAGGGGAGCTGTCAGCTGCAGCTCTGCATGTGATTCTGGAGGTAAATGTGCAACACTGCTTGACCTTCTGTGAGCAGTTTATCAGGAGCTCGGGGCAGGAGGCACTGACTGCCTGGGCATGGGGCAGCACACAGGGTCTGGCTCAACATCTCACCAACAAAGGTGATTTACAGCAGCAACCTTCTCACAGCTGCAGCTGAGGCAAAGAGGTTTGCAGCTCAAGTAGTCGGTACACCTGCTTGTAGGCAACAGGAGGACCACCTTAACACATTGAAGCAAGTATGTGGCTGATCAAAAAGATCACAGTTGAAAAAAGCGTTGAATAAAAGCGTTGAATAAAAGTTGGAAAAAGTGAGGTTTTCTGGCTATTGAGCAGCAATGCCATGGTGGGTGGCCACTGGTCCAGTACACATCCTCAGTGGTGAGAAAGAATCCCCCTCTGGTATGTGCTAGACCTGGAGGCACAGAACTGACTGAGAGCAGACGTGGCAGCTTTGGAGAATAACATCACTGGCACATCTACAGCTCTCTGCTGCTCTTAGCAGGCCCCACACAGCAGTGTTTTCATAGCCACAGGTAAACAACCACCTCTTTAATGAAGTTCAGTAGCTGCCTGTGTGAACTGGGACAGAAAGGGCTCAGCCAAGCCAAATTCAGTTTTCTACAACAAATATTTAACAGCTGCTATCTCTGTAGGACTTCACCTTGCATTAATGAGCTCTACCCAGGGAGCAGCAGCTGAAGTGACAGCTATGGATGACTCCAAAAGCGCCCATCCATAATAACCCAATTTATAAAGCTTCTGAAAACACGTCCAGTCTTGCAACCAGAATAAACCAGATACAAGGGAAAGATTTTTTTTTCCTGTAAAGTATGGTGCACCCCTTGCAAATCAATGTATTTCGAGTTGTACATGGGCTCATCCTGTATGTGACAGCTGTTAATTCTACTTCTATCTGTGCTAACTCTGCCTGCACAATCAATACTGGCAAATTGTGAAAGAACTCCAACCAAGTGATTCATTTTACTCTGTGGTAATGCCCTTCCTCCCCCCTTCCTCAGCAATGCCATGTCCAGCTTAGGGAGCCTCAGTGCAGAGTGGCTGTGTACAACTGGATGTGCCTGAAATGCAGCCTGGAATGGCTGTGTGAGATCTGCCTCAACCAAGGCACAAAACAGTGCAAGGTCCTCAGCTCCAACACTGAACCACCCCACAGCACACAGAGACAGACAGCCAGACACACACACACTCTGCAGCCTCAGTGCCTCTCCCAGGGGCTGCAGCACCCCTAGCAATGGGCACTGCTGTAAACACCACATCACACCATGTAAAAAGAGAAGTGTTTATTGGTTATATACTGTATACTGACAGTGTTTGAGTCAGGAGAGACATGCAGTAAGTGTGTGTTTACATTTGGCATGCAGACTAAGAGCACTGTGTCACTGGAAGGAGGTGAGCACCATCTGTATCCACTGCGTGGGCAGCCTGGGGAGGAAAGCACTGGCTTTCCTCTACTCAGCATGCTGAGACAGGACAAGTTCTAAGAGGGTGGAACACTGCTCATAGCTCTATTGGACACAAAGTTTATTTTAGGGGAAAAGGTAATACTGCAACCCTGGAAAATCTGCTTAACTTGGATGAACTTGTGATTATGAAAAGATTTCTTGCATTATTTGTCTTCTAACTAAGCTGCCCCACCCAAATATATGTTCACAAATACAAAAAAATAGATTTATTCTCTTAAAAATACATTCCGTGCAGCCTGGAGTGCTGCTTCCCCAAAGCAGGAGCCGGCACTGCACGTGGGGCAGCCCAGGAGGATCCTTTGGGCCCTGGGTTCTGACCATTGGAGGCATCTGCAAACAATGGCTTTGTGTTCTGTGGCACAGCCTGCGGGAGGCTGGCCTGGAGCAGTGCCCTGATTGCTTCAGCAGTGTGCAAGGGTGGCAGAGATGAGGTCTACTACATTAGAGACGACACCAATGTGACTATTGCTTCGATCTGTAGCTAGGAAATTGCTTGTGTCAAGTGTCTCTTGAAGCACCAAGGCCCGTGGCTCTGCCCTGTGCTTCCTGCCCTTGCCCTTGCTGCGGTCCTGTCCCCGGGAGGCTGCGGGGCCAAGCCATCACCCCACACCCTGCCAGGAGCTGGACAGGCAGCTCTGTGGGCTGCAGAGGTGTTCTGGACATGAAGGAAGCCGTTCCATGAAGCAGGGAGCTGCTGGGCCCTCAGACTGGAGCCAGCCCTTGTGGGGAAAGCACTGGCTCTCCAAAAGGGACCAGCAGCTGAGGTTCCTTGGGAGCAGCAAGCACTGACACACTTCCTCTGTACAGCAAATACATTTACAACTTTGGAATTACCCGAGGGTTCGATGCATGGCCTTGTGCATCATCAAGCCTACTGAAAAGCCTGTTATATTTATATGCTAAAATTACAAATACTTCTTCAGTGATGGCAATATTTACACATATACTCTATTTTACAGCTGTTCAAAAAAGTGTGCAATTCGAGTAAACACATTGTGTTTCCTGAAGTCATTGCTATAAGATTAATAATACAATCAGCTCCTATTGCACTCATTGACTAGAGGGCATGGCCCTTTCCATACTAGGTAGGGTTTTCTTTCTCAGGTTTAATCTCAGCTGTGGTAAAAACAACCCGTGTGCAGTTACCAAGTGACATCTGTGTCCAGTATTTACAAGCAGTGAAACTGAGTCTAGAGCAGGAGTTCAAGGTATCTGCTGTAAAATATTGAACAGATAACTGAGGCAGCTGGAGAAAGGAGAGACATCATCTGTGAGAAGCACCTGAAGACAGTGCCAGCAGCGCTGTGTTGCTGGGGCAGTAGCTGGGGCTAAGCCAGCTGAGCAGCAGGGTAAAGCCCTCGCGTTCCTCAGGCAAAGCCTTGTCCTGGCTGACAGGAGGAGAAAACCCAACAGCTATTGCTGCTGGTGGTTGTTCCCTTGCACTTGAGACACGGGGCTGTGTTCCTGGGGTGAGCAGTGGGGTTGAAAAGCTGATGGTAGCCCATGTTTGGTGGGTAGGCACAGGGAAACCTGTTAACATGTTGAATCACAGGGATGCAGAGATTTCCTCACCACAACTGAAGCCGCTTGCTTCCCTTGGAAGGCTCTTTGGGAGCACCGTGCTAAGCCACATCCATGCCAGCAAGGCAAGAAGGAGGAAGCTGGTGGATGTGTGGGGAGCTCCTGTGGAACGTGGAGCTATGTCCTGCAGCAGGATGGGACTGAGGAAAGCCGTTCAGTCACTGCCCAAAGCGATCCTTGTCCTTCTCTGTGTGCAGGTGCTGTCCAGCAGTTTGTACAAGCTGCAAGTCCTGGGCAGCAGTGACCTAGGGCAGGGGAGCCCACACCACGCTGGGTTTCTGGAGCTGGAACAGCAGTGCCCAGCAGTGGCTCTTCCACAACCACTGCGACAGGTGACACAGCTGGAAAACTGCTCAGCAGCAGGTTTGGGAATGTGCAGAAAGGGAATCCCTGTGACATCTGAAGAGACAGGTATGTGCCAAGATGCCTCCCAGCTGCTCCCAGGGTAAGAAAGCAGGTACTGAGGCATTTGGCAGATTTCTTTAGGAAGGGCAGAGGCAGCAGCCTGTGGGTGCAGAGCAGAGCAGAGCTGGGAACACAGGACAGGAGAAGCTGCTGCTGCTCAGGCAGTGCAGCTGGACCTGACACCCCAGAGTGCTGAGCAGAGCAGGGGGCTCAGGAAGGATACAGCCATTGCACAGGACTGTTCCATCCATTGTGGTTTCAGACTGCACAATCCATAAGAATTTCCAATCGTTCCTGATAAGCAGGGGGAGGCAATTCAGAAGTCTGAATTTAGCTTCAGAATTTCACTTTCTTTCATTTTTAGTTTGGAGTTTAAAATTTTTTCCCATTATCTCATTCTACTAGCACTACCATGTCAATGGTAAGAGAGCAGTTGATACATTTTCATACA